CAGCAGCAGCAGCAACAGCAGCAGCAGCAGCAACAGCAGCAGCAGCAGCAGCATCCTGGAAAGCAAGCCAAAGAGGTAGGATCTGGTTATCTCACTGATGCAGAATAGTTAGAGGTTGAGAAGGGGCCCGGAGAGGCAGGACCAGCCTTAGATCTTCCAGGAACAAGGCTCTTGCTGTCAGAGATGCGATTATGCATTTTTACTGAGCTTCATAACAGTGACAGGAGAACTCTCATGCTCGCCTTTTTTGTAGTCTGGGACTCGAGAGTTACAATCCAATGCTTCTGTCGTCTAATGTTCACTAATGAATCACAGGGCACAAAGAGCAAGCTGTGTGGTGGACAAAGTACTGATTATCTTGTATCCACCGAGAATCTAAGTTAAGCAAGGAACCTTATTTTTCTCAGTGGTGCAGCTCAGAGAACACGCATGCAAATTGAGCCTGCCAACGGAGGGGTAAGGAGGAGCAGGGGAGAAACTGGTTGAGCACAAATTTCAAAGTCATAGGCCCCTGATTAATGAACTGCTACTGTAGGTTTGGAGTGGCGAGTAGAAAGTTCCAGTGTGATATGCTCATAAATCAAACTGACAGGCTGCCTTCTCAGGCCTAGCCTGCTCTTGTCAGCAAACTGCATCAAATATAAACATAATACAAACAAAACATGTTGAAGTAGTTACATTGATCAGCAGGTATCAGGCCGCTGTCTTCAAGATGCCCATTATGCAAACGCACAGGAAACAGTTTTGACCTCCTGAGGCTGTGTTTCTGTTTGGATTTGTGAATAGAATTGCAGACAGCCATCAACTACAGAATAGAAATTGCTCCCTTATTTCTCCGGAGGCTTTGGGCAATCCACATGACTTGCTCCATTATGCAGTCTGTTTTCCAGTGAGTGCATCAGAAGTTTCTCTTTTCCCCAAACTAAAAAGGAAAGGTCTTCCACGGCAGCTTGTCTTTCTCTGAAGTGTGACTGCCTTCTCACAGCCTCCTGCATCCAAACAGCTCTGGTTTGTCTTGTAATGCCTCACAAAACTGGAAGTTAGACTTTTCCTGATAATAAGGGGCACTTTTTTTTTTTTTTGCTTTGAACATAATTCTGGCTTTAATATATGCCAACAAGTGAGGAGACGGAGCAAGCCTGAGCTAATAGGGCTGTCCTGTGAAAGCTACATCCCAGTTTACTAATAGATCACTGGAGACCCCCTTCAGGAACCTCTTCACACAGCGAACTTAGTCAGTTGGAAAAAATAGAGAGCGTTGTCCAAGCTGATGGAGTCAAGACAGCATCATTCTTTTGGTCTAGATCAAGTTATGACTACCTACAATCAGCTGATGAGAGAACATCTGAACCTTTTTGGTATACCTCTTCAATGCCTTGCTCCATACTCTGAATGCTAGTTCCTTGGCTCTCTGCTGCCATTTAAAACTGGAAAGAAAGGCAACAGAAATCTAAAACCTACTCACCTTGTAGCTGAACTTGGACCCTAGGCTGGCCATTCTGCTACCTGCCAGGGCCATGAGAGGGCTGCATGGGTCCCTGTAGAAGAGCTGTTCTGCAGCTGTTTACCGGGTTGGGTTTTCTGGCAGCAGCAGCAGCAGCAACAGCAGCAGCAGTTGGCAGCTCAGCAGCTTGTCTTCCAGCAGCAGCTTCTCCAGATGCAACAACTCCAGCAGCAGCAGCATCTGCTCAGCCTGCAGCGTCAGGGACTCATCTCCATCCCACCTGGCCAGGCGGCTCTTCCTGTCCAGTCGCTGCCTCAAGGTACATACAAAATATTTTGCACACTTCCTTTCTAATCTTGCACTTTCTACCCTTCCATGGCCCGTCTACCTTATACCTTGAGAAATTTGGGTTTTTTTTCTTAGGACCTTCAAGTTTATCATTCCAGCATGATTGCTAATATGGTTGCATGACCCATTTTCTTAGGCTCAGATGTTTGATTCCACGATGATTTCGGATGTGCAGTAAGGCGGCTGTCGGTGTTTTGTTAGATAGTAAACATGTATTGATATGTCTTAAGGGCTGAAAATAATGTTAAGGACAACACCATTCAAGGAAGCACTGTTGTCTAGAAACCTGAGGATTTGCCCGGAAGTGGATTAGGGGGCAGTCTAACTGCCTGCCATTGATCACAACTGCGTTGATAGGTGTTATGAACAACTGATAGAGAGCCTCTCTGTATTCCTGGAGAGCACATTCCCAGTCAGGCTTTTGGTGCTCTGGCCTGGGTCATGGGGGCCTATGGAGCTTCTTTTCCCTAAAATAATATTCCCTGGCCTTGCATTGTGAATTACAATTTAACGATTTCAACTGTATTCTTACTTGTTCCTTTGATGAGGAAAACTTTGGATTTCCAATTGTACAAGTACATCGGCATCTTTTAACTGTCAACATTAGGAAAGTCGAAAGAGCGCTAAGTAAGGCAAAAACACCCCAACAACAATGAAGACGATCGAAAACTCTGTATGCTACTATCAATACAGATAGAAGTTGTATGTGAGTAAATGCCCTATAACTGGTGTCCTGCATTTTGATTTAGTTGGAGCAAACTTTAATTCAAGTTAACTTTAAATCCAGTTAATTATATTTGTCAGAGACAGACTCGCTTTGTAGTTACATTTGCTTCACTTTCTCAACCGCACACAGAAGAAAATAGCAAAACAATTAAATGTATAAAACATTCAAATGAGCAAACAAAAGAGTCTTCACACATAATTATTGTTTTGTAGCACATGAAACTGAAGACACTGTTAACCGTGTCTCCTTATTTATCACATCACCATCTCCTGAGCTTCCTTTCCCAAGCATTGCCTTTCACAGGGCTCCCATTGCGCTGGCTCTCGAAACCGAGAAAAATGACGTTTGTCTCATGAAAAGAAAGGAAGGCAGTCAACTCACTTTTCTGGAGAGAATTGGAGCAAACCATGGTGTTGCTCTAGCATTGAATGTTGTATTCACCAAATTACTGTTCTTTTGAAAAGTAAGTGTAACTTGAAGACAAGTGAAGAAATGAGGGCCAAAAGATAAAACAGTTTGTAAATTAACACCATTTGAAGATGGATTTCCTTAGTAAAAATTACATTAAGACAGAAGCAATAAATTTATGTTCTTTTTTTTCAAGTAAATTCAAAATTAAATCTGTATTCACTTAAAAAATTCACTGCCATTGAGTTGATTCCTACTGATACCCACCCTATACGACAGAAAAGAAGTGCCTGTTGAGGTTTCCAAGAGTTTCAAATTCGAATGGGAACAGGCGGCCTTCTCGTGTGGAGCCACTGCTACGTTCAAACCAATGACCTTTTGATTGGCAGCTCATTGCTTAATCCATTGTACTACTGGGGCTCATTATGAAGAGAATCCTCTCAATATAAGAACATGATCTACCCTTGGGATTTTGGATAAAACTTTTCAAGCAAGCATTATCAGAAAGTTTAAAATAAGTGTGTGTAGAAACAAAATTTCCATTGTTTGAAATATAAAATCATTTTCTTGGAAGATTTCCATTCTTCCAAAATAAACATTAAAGTGTCTCATTGAGCAAGAAAATGATTTTTCACATTATCCCCTTTTAATACTTTCCAAATTAAATTATTTAATTTTTCTGGAGCTTTAAAAAAAATAGAATTACAAATGCACACACACACATATGCACACGCACGCATGCACACACGCGCACACAGCCCCCTGCCAGAGTTCTCTCTCTCTACTTTTCACAACATGAAGTGCATCAGCGGGAGAATGTTGTGGGGAAAAAAGTAAATCTAAAACAGTTTCTAGATTTAGAATGAAAATTGGTATTTAAAGCAAATAAAAAAGATTAAGTCATTAAAACATTTCCATGAACAAAGCTGAAAAATCCATCTGAATACATGTAGAGTCAAAATGTCCCCGGTCGCAGTAGCACTGGCCAAAGTTCCTGGTGGTGCGGCGTAAGTCACATGTGGTCGTCTGCCCCCAAGCCAAAGCAACTGTAGGCCCAATGGCATGGAACGCGTCGCGGTCCTGGGCCATCCTCACAATTGTTACTGTGCCTGAGCCCGTGGATGCAGCCACTATGGAAACCTATCTCTTGAGGGGCCTTCCTCTTTTTTGCCTCCTCTCCGCTTTACCAAACGTGATGTCCTTTTCCAGGGACTAGTCTCTCCTGACAGTATGTCCAAATGACGTAAGACAGTCATACCATCCTTGCAGCTAAGAACCACTGGGGTCTTACTTCTTCTAGTTCATATCGGATTGTCCTCTAAGCAGTCCTTGGCACGTTCAGCAGCCCCTGGCACTTCCTCAGCACTACAATTCAAGGGCATCCTTTCTTCTGCAGTCCTCCTTATTCATTGTCCACCCTTCACATGAGCCAGTGGAGAAGACCAGGGCTTGGGTGAGGTACACCTTAGTCCTCAAAGTAACTCCTTGCGCTTCAATACTCTAAAGAGGTCTTGTGCAGCAGATTTATCCAATGCAGTACATCTTTTGACCTCTGTTTCCAGGAGCATGGATTGTGCATTCAAGCAAGACAAAGTCCTTGATAGCTTCAACCTTTCCTCCTTTGCTCCTGATGGTACTTAATGATTCAGTTATGAAGATTTTGGACTTTCTTACATTGAGTTGTAATCCATACTGGAGGGTACAATCCTTGATCTGCATCTGCAAATGTTTTAATTCCTCCTCACTTTCAGCAAGCAAGGTTTTGTCATCTGCGTATAGAAAGTTGTCAATAAACCTTCCTCCAATCCTGATGCCACACTCTTCTTTATATAATCCAGCTTCTCTGATGTTTTTCTCAGCATCTAGTTCGAACAAGTATGGTGAAGGGATACAACCCTGGTGCCCAGTTTTCCTGATTTTAAACTGTGCAGCATTCCCTTACCCTGTCCACAAAACTGCCCCTTGATCCACGTATTCGTTCTGAGTGGGCACAATGAAGTCTTCTGGAATTCCCATTCTTCTCAATGTCATGCACACTTTGTGATGGTCCACATGGTCCAATGCCTTGGCAGAGTCACTAAAACACCAGTACATCTCTCTGGTATTCTCTGCTTTGAGCAAACATCGATATCTGGCATCAGCAATGGTATCCCTTGTTCCACGAACTCTTCTGAATCTGGCCTGAACATCTGGCAGTTCCTCATCCATGCCCTGCTGCAATTCTTGTTGGATGATCTTAAGCAACATTTTACTTGTGTGCGTTATCAAGGATTTTGGTCTGTAGTTTGAGCATTCTGTTGAGTTACCATTCTTTGGAACAAATATGGTTGTCTTCCAGTCGGTTGGCCAAGTAGTTGTCCAACTTCTGAACTACCTGGCGTAGACAAATGAGTGCTTCCAGTGCTTCTTCAGCTTTCTGAAACATTCCCGTGGGTGTTCTGGCAATTCTTGGACCATTGTTTTTGACTAATGCAGTCAGTGCACTGTGCACTCCTTCCTACAGCACCATTGGTGCTGCTGAGACCCTGCCTTGTGAATTGGCAGGCTGGGGACTAGTTCTTTGCGGTACATTGGCTCTGTGTATTCATTCCAACCTCTCTTGCATCATTCAATACTTTGCCTTTAGAATCTTTCAAAATTTTACTTCAAGACTTGATACTTTTCTTGAACTCTTTCAGTTTTACATGTGCTGAGCATGCTCTTCCCTTTTGGTTTTCTAAATCTAGGTCCTTGCACATGTCATTATAATATTTGATTTGGTCTTTTCGAGAAATTTCCCATTCGGCTCCTTGACTTCATTCTTTCTTGCCTTTGCTTTGGCTACTCTAGATAAGTCACATAAGTTGGATCTATTCACATAGTTTTCACTATTTAGAAAAGAAAGTGTGAAGAATGTCATTGTGGAAAGCCACCAGCCAAACACAGATGGAATGTGCCAGAAATACGAGACAGCAAAGGAACAGGACCACATATGCTGAGCTGTTGATATCGTGTTGGGTGCAGTACCCACTTTCGGTTCACAGTGACCCTGTGGGGCTGAGACAAACTCAGAAAGTCAAACAAAAGAATGTGCCATGGTTCTCACATCTGACAATGAATATCTCTCCATAAGCAATGTATTCCATCTCATGATGAGTGCATGTCTGTCGTATATGGTAATTTCTTTATTCCCAACTTTTTGTGTTTGAAATATACACATTCTTGAAAATCTAGTAGTCTTTCCTTACTAGTCTGAAAGTTCAAACAGGAAAACAGGAGATCCTTGCTATCCAGGCCAATTGTGATCTAATAATACCTTAGAGAACTAGATGAGCTTAAAACTAGGGATTTTTTTTTTTTTTTGAGAAATCAAGGAAAGAAACTATGAATTAAGAGTGTGCTGTAGTGCGTGTTTGCTCTCAGTTTCCTGGCCAAAACAGCCATTAATTAAGCTTTAACGTCTTTCTCTGCTTATCAAAGCCCAAAGCCTCCTTTAGCACCACTTCTCTGGAGCTTTGGTAGTTTACTGAGTTATGTGTTTGGTTGCTAAGTGATTCAGGAGAAATCTGAGGTTTTCTGCTCTGCTGAAGATTTACAGCCTCATAAACTCACAGGGACAGCTCTACTCTGTCCTACAGATTCCCTGAGTCAGAATTTACTCAATGGCAATGACTGTGAACCACTTCTGGTTTCCTTGATCTTTTATTTCATCGGTGAGTATGTGCTTACACTGATTAATATTGCTTCAGCAATATATAAACAATAAATGCTATGCAGGTTATTATTACATATGAGTCAGCTAAAACCAAATCTGTTGCTATCAAGTCAATTCTAATGCAGAGCAACTCTAGAACCAT